GAACCATCAGGCATTAAGTACCCTTCAATTATCTTTGCAGATTAAATAATCCCAGTTCCATTTTCCTTTACTTATAACCACCTCATTTTAAAACTCTTCAGCCTCCTTGTCAGTGTCTGTAATAAAATGTAACCTCATTTTACTGTTCAAATGAATTGAAAAACATTTCCTGACAGTGAACCATTGAAACCAATGCCACAAAATCTAGGTTTCTTATATCCCACCTATGTTTTACAAGACAAACTGCTAAAAAAAAAAATCAAATTATATGTCTATCCTCTCCAGATATTCTAATTTCTCCTCATCGCCCCTGTTCTTCTTCCTAATAAAGTTTTAGTTCGTTGTAAGGTCACTAAGTATTTCACATACATTGCATTAAACATTTTGATCCTCATTTGTCCCATTAAATAAGAATTGACCAGATGGATATCTTCTGACTCCCTCTCCTGAGCAGGTTTTAGTTAATTAAAAATGATTATTTTTACTACATATTTTATATATCAGCCAGATGTTACCTGTGGTCATTTCTGGAAAAGATCATTTGGTGGTGGTTATAAAATACCTATTTTCCTTTGGGAAGTAAGACTCCTGGGCAAGAACAGGAAAACAAATGTAGAAATTGATTCCACCTCACACCTTTTTCCAAGTGTCAAAATGGGCATAATATTTCATTTCCTTTAAAGGGAAGATTCAGTAAAATTCTTTGTTTTCCTTTCTATCTCTGCACTCTAGCTCTACTGATACCATTAAAAAAAAAAAAAAAAATGTCAGTTTGGTGGAAAAAGATTAATGTTGGTTTCCCTCTGTACTACCACTTGAAGTTGATTTTTCCAAAGAAACCGATTTGGTTTCTGTGTGACATATATATGTGAAAAAGCAAACCCCTCTGCTCAATCAGAACAGAGACTCCTATGAACACTGACTTTCTGACATCTGTAAAAGTTCCCACTTCTGCACAAGCCTCCTCAGAAGCCAGCTTCCACGTCAATCAATTTGTCTATGCTTCCTGTTAGTGTAGAAATAATCCAGAATGAAGTAAAGATACTATAGTCATGAATTTGTTTTGTGATTTCAAC